ATAACGGATTTTCTCGCAAAGCTTTTCTCATTTTTCTTTTTAATCATCTTTATAAGAAGTTTTTTTTTGCAGCAATGTCGAGTTATAGTTGACGTCGGGCGACCAATTTGTGTAGGTATAAGTGGGTGTAGAACGAGCATTCGCTATGGTCTCACGTGGAATCATTAGAAACTTTTAAGAGCACATTTCAATTTTTTTAAATTTTTTCATTCGCATAACGTTAGAAATTTAAGATAATTACAAATTCATCAAGAAAAAACATTTTATTCGAGTATTAAAACGTGGTGAGTGACAAGCCATGACAAAATACGACCCAAATCTACTCGCATGAAAATAAATACAGGACGCAAACTGTATGTACCTTTAAATAGAGCTAAGATATCTTCTTCGAGATAGTAGAAATGCGAATGAAGATGATAAAAAATAAAAAATAAATCAAATTACAGCGCGTTTCCTCCAAGAAAAATCGGCTAGTGTAATTTTTTGCTGCAAGACCTTGTAGTTCAGACGCGTTGCGTTCATGTTTATATAAAGAAGCTCGAAAAATAAACGTGACCGTACCTAATTTGAATTTCCCTGAAAATAATACAATGAATCACAATTACTCAAGATGCTAAAAAACGAGCAGCCGGGTGATTGTGGGACCATTAAATGTTTTCGATGAAAGTCAAATTCCGAGTCAGAATTTCCGATAGTGAGAATTCGTATACCGTTGTACGGATAACCTGAGAATCAAACTCTCGGATATTTATAATTAATTGAATGGTTTCTTTCAAAAACGAATCCTTAAAGTTAAACTTCTTAACTATGCTACTAATATGGCACATCCGGAGTCATCTCTGATGTATGAACTTGATTGGCAGAAATATTGTACAAGGAGTCGAACAAATGTCTGAAAATGTATGCGTGTCAGTCATCTGAAACTCGTCGTCTCTCCGCTATCAGCACACTATGTTGCCTAGTCAATTACAGCTGCCAATCAAACAAGTTCTTCGACATGTATCGCATATTGAATCAGAGAGCTCTTTCTCTTATTCGCGTCCTCGTTTTTCATCTTTTTTTGCGATCGCTTGTTTCATTTTTGTGCTTTTCGCCTGTTTTTATGGTCCCCTTATATGGATTTTCTGTCTTGAGCTGCGCGTGGGAGTGTTTTTTGTGGCCTCGGCGATAATGACGGCGCTTTATAAAACGATATCCGAGCCCATATTTGGGTGTCCGCTCAACGCGAAGAAAAAAAAAGAACAAAATTGCCAGTTATAAAAGTTGAGCGATTGATGACTTTTTAGTGCGGCGAGAAATTTGCGCGTAATCATGCTTCGTCACTTGTCTCTCTCTGCTATTTTCCAAGCCGAGCTCAACTTTTGCTCTTGGGAATTTTGAAGGTTACTGTAGCCTAGAAAATTTACATTTAATAATGTGTCAAAATCGTCTTGCGCCTTTAAACATGACCTAGAGGTGCATGACTTATACGTCGCGCGACTTCGAAAAACACCAAAAAAATCACGGAGAGGTGTGCGCCTTTAACCTTTTTATCTTTGTCCGTAAATCGACACTTAGTTCTGTGCCAAGATCGCTGTGATTGTTTCTTTGGAATTTTGTCTTCTTCATGCGCCTTTGATGAATACTATAGTTTTTCATATGCTTGATACGCGGCCAAATTGTAAATTATTGCGAGACGAGACCAAGTTCTAATTTGTCTTCCACAAAATATTCCGAAACGTGGGCGGAGTTTGTACAATAGTGCGTACTTGTTTACTTCACCTAATATCTTTTTTTAATGTCTCATTTTCGCGATTGTACTCAAATCCGTGAATATTTTTAAATAACAGATTTTGTTTTTATGGAAAAAATAAGAAAACAGTGGTTCTTTCGCCTTGGGTCTCGCAAAAGGCGATTTCTTATTTTACATTTTTCCCGCGAATTTTTTTTATTTCTCTTGGAAAGTTTGACATTTCCTTGAATTTTGTCATTTAAATTAAGAAAAAGAATCATCGAATTAAACTTAGAATGCAATGTGACCAGTTAGTTGCACCTGACCGTCGAAAAATATATTCCCGTAAATCTACCCGCGTACATCAGCTGCCGGACGCCAACCGTAATATAGTTAAGAACAAATACTATAAATTTGTGCGTCGGTTCTTGGCACGGATCAAAGCGTATATTTTTTTCTTTTTTTCTATTTTCCAATTGATTAATTTTATCTGTATATCTATGAGATGAACCTTGATCCTTTCTGCATTTTATAGTTATTTCAACAATAGAGTCTTGAATTAAAGAAAAAAACAATTTTCCGTTCCGCTGTATTCTTTTGATGACACATCAAAAATCTTGATCCGAATCAAATAAGGTGATGATAATTCCGCACAAAGCGCCTGAAATGCGCAATAAGCCGCCCTCATTTTAATCTCTGATAAACGAACCGCCTATTATTGCCGGCTGTGAATATTTATTTTTCATTTCGTTGCGCATTCATCTGAATGCATACCTTACGTGGGATAATTTCCAATATGTGCTTTATTTTTTAAACTTTGAATGCTTTAATTGATCATATATGTGATTTAGAACATTTATTTTCAATCAGGGGTTTCGCGATTCTAAAAAACGACAAGTTTTTCTGATTTGTGTTATCATCAGTAAAAAAAAATAGTTGAAAATTTTTGCGAAAATCCTTAGACAGCTATGACAATGAATAAAGTGCAAATTGCGGCGAGACCATAGAAAATTCATTACGAGACCCTCCTAGCCTTCATCCGTAAGTTAACCCAACATACTTTAGTCATCAGTCACCGATTATATAAAGCTTAAATCATAAAAAAAGAAACGCCAGCGCCAAGCGCCTTGGAAGAACAATTTGTGGACAACTATGAATTTTCTGAGGAGAGGCAACCCTCTAATTATCGAACTCTCATAGTACATTTTTTTGGTATTGCGAAATGCACTTCTTTTCTGAAAAAAAAACATAATGAAAAATACATAGGAAATTGGTTTTATATGTAAACATTCAGAACGAACATAATTGTCATGAGAAAGGGCCGATTTATTAGCTATGCTCCTTTAAACGAGACCTACCACCGTGTGTATTTGAAATAGAAAAAATGCAACAAATATATATATATTATTGTTATTTGGTTGCCTACTCAAAATTGTCCTTGAGCATTTCCGGAACATGAAGTTGTTGAGCAGAAGCATTGCGAATGCCAGCCAACGGAGTGTTCATATTTCTTTCGGTGTCTACGTAGCAAAATAACCTTTTTTTTCATCTTCATTTTTTTCTTGAGGTTCACACAAAAATATAACATAAACGGCTCGGGTCTCGCCCGATTTAATAATTGCCTTAATCCTGATTTTATTCTCTTGTTCCTCGACTGCACCCCCCCCCACCCTCCTTCTCACATTTGTCACCGCTATGGCAACCAATACGAGCTAGTGACACACACACAAAAAAAAAAGAAAACGAATATAACAAAATACATTTGATTTATTTATTTATGTATTCTAGACGAGAACCTGATGCCATTTTTTGCACTCTACTCCCTATGAGCCTTTAATTGTGTGAATTGTGTTCGATTCTTGGAAATGTTTTCAAATGATGCGCTTCATGTTTGAATTCGTGTGGTTTTAGAAGATATTCAGAAAGAAAAGAGTCTTCTTTGTGATATTCTAGAAAGGTAATATTTTCGGCGCGACTTTGAAAAATTGGCTGAATTCCCGAAAAAAATGCCTTTGTTGTTCACGATCTTAAAATATTGCTGTGGTCCTTCTAGGGGCCTTTTGAAGCTTCTATGATACAAAAACATTTCTAAACCCCAAACCGGAACGGTTCTGAAAAGAGATAAATTAAACCAAATTGAATAAGTTTATTAAAACAACTCATTGTTCTGATTTCATATAAAAAAGAAAACATTTGCGCTTTCATTTTCCCATTTTCTATTCTCATTTCGGCACATTCTCGATGTTTTCGGTTTCTTTGATCTACCTAATTTGGGTCGTTTCTTTTACGTATAATAATAATAATAATATTATTATTATTACCAATTTCCTATTTTTCGTCCATAAACGAATAAATAATAACGTTTTAATCGGAATTGAATGATTTTCTCACCTCGAAAATATGTTGGTCCAGAAAACCCATTGAATGTTGACAGATGATTTTTTTTTTGGATAACATTCTCAGTTGTGTTCCTCTGGCCGATGCTTTTGTTTAAATACATCAATTGTCCCTCGATATCCATAAGAAATTGCTGTTCATACAAGCATTCCTATTATTTTTGTGTGTTCGCCAAAGCAATAATGTTTGAAGTAGACCACAATAAACAATTTTTGTGGCGAGGGTGGTCTTTTTTCGAAGAACATGACGCAATAAATTGAACGACCCTTCAAATTTCGGATAAGCTTTGGACCCACTCCTAAAAGGTGACTGGGGGCGGACCAACTTCCTGCCTTCATTTTGTCTCTCTCTTTTATTTTTCTCTTCCTTCCCCCCCCTTTTTTGGTTATTAGGATTATACATAAATAAATAACATTTCTTTTGGGAAATTTGCGTTTCCGTAAATCGACACCCTACTCATTATTTTCAGTTTCTGAGATATTTTCAGGAGAACTGGAGAGATTCGTCACTAATCAAACTTGCACCTGATAATGTTCTTGAATAATTTTTAGTTAAGTATTCATACTTCCGATGAAGCCAATCTTATGAGGATTTTTTTCTAATTTTTGAAATGCATGTGCCTTTAATACTCGACATTCAATTTCGAACTCTATTTATCCGGCAATGTCTCTAAAATCTGCATTCTTTTTGTTAAAAAAAATCTTTTTGATTTTTGACCGCTGAATTTCGCCGACACAAACGGTTCCATTATTCTCGAGATAATTCGATTTCGATTCGCTGACGAAATTCTATCCAGAGTTTTCTAAAAACGCAAGAATAAAATTGAACACTTGCAGTGAGTCGCTGTAACCGATGTACGGGCGGAAGCGGTAGAAGCGATTTTCATTGAACAATGGCTTCACCGGAAGCGGCGATTGTTGCCAATACGTCCAACATGCAAATAGTTCGTAAGTTATTTTTTTCTGGTTCTTTCTCTTATCACACAATTCAGAATTAAACGTGACGTTATTAGTAGTTCTCATTTTTTTTGAAAAACAGATAGTAGCCGTAGCGGTCGAAGAATCTGACAACGAGATCTCTAAAGCAAAAACGTTATATTTATCAATGTAGTTTAGAATTGGCATGAAATTCTCACATAACCATGTGTTCTATTCAGAAACCAAGAATATCAATAATGTTCTATCAAAAGGTACAGTAAGTTGTAGAATAATCCTTGATGGTATATATTATATATCTATTTATTTATTTATTTATGGCCGTATACACCACACATGTTCACCGCTTCGAATTGTGTTCAAGGTAGATCAAATGGTTTTTGCGAATTGAGCATTTCAGAAATCCATCATTACGCCGAGAAATCGACGTCGCCGGAAGTCGACAAATTATATCAGGACGATGCGGTTTGGATCATTTCGAGCAGTTTTATCATTTTTACAATGCACTCGGGTTTGCCCTTGATGGTCCAATATCGAGTTTATGAGTTGCTGATGATTTCAGGATTCGGCCTCCTTGAATCTGGGAGTGTTTCGGCGAAAGATGAGGTGAACATTATGGTGAAGAACGTGGTCGACGTCGTATTCGGTGGATTATCCTATTGGTCCGTTGGATTCGGATTGTCCTATGGCGATTACGAGCCGTTTCGAAATTCCATTGTTGGATTTGGAAAGTTCTTCTACGATCCGAGCAGGTCAGAGAGTCAATTTAATGAAAAATCACAAATTATCGGGAATGTGTGGGAAATTTCCCATTTTTTTCCGTAAACCTAAGTTTTTCGTCCAGAAAATTTCTCGAAGACAAATCGGGAAATTTTACCAGCAAAGATTAATGTAGATTTTAAAGGTACATGTGGCCTTGAAATATTAAGTAACGGAAATCAAATTTCAAAATTTAGGATAAACTTTCGTTCATTTTTCTTTTTTTTGGTATCTCTTGGAAAATGGGGATGCTTGCCATATTTTTGTAATATGATTAACTGAAATTACTAAAAATCGAGCAAAAACAAAAATTCCTAAAAAAAAACATATGCATATATTATCGATTTCCCGCAACTGCGGAAAATTGTCTAACAAGTGGCAAAAAAATTCGGGAGAGGACTTGACGCGAGTAAGCGTCTTTAATCTATCGTTGTAGAATATCTCAACTTCTTGGGACTGAAGGTCCGGTTCCCTTCCCACCGCAATATCATTTTTTTATTCAGAGATTTTGATGAGACGGGAAGCATAAATGAGGAAGGATGGTCGTATGCCTCGTTTTTATTCCAACTCTCACTTGCTACCACTGCTTCGACAATCGTGTCTGGAGCTGTCGCCGAACGAGCCAAACTCAAATCGTACATTCTGTTGGGCTGCTTGGTTATTCTCATTCAAGTAATATTCGAATTGCATTAACTGGATTAATATTCCTGTTCAGGCACTTCCTGCGCACTGGGTTTGGGATAGTCAAGGAATGTTCTATAAGATGGGCGTCGTTGATTTCGCCGGCTGCTCGGCCGTTCATTTGGTCGGCGGAATTATCGGCCTGATTGCGACGGTGTACCTGAAGCCGCGACGAAATCGATTCCACGAAGACAGTGTGCATCAGATGAGCAGCCCGACGAATGCACTATTGGGAACATTCCTGTTGTGGTGGGGATGGTTTGGTATCAATGCGGGATCCGTGTGGGGAATCACTAGTGGACGGTGGCGATTGGGAGCAAGGTTGATCAAAACTCACAATCAAATTTGTATTTGCATTTTAGAGCTGCCGTTGCCACTATAATGGCTTCAATTGGAGGCGGAGCCACTGCTATCACAATCAGCTTCACAAGAACCAAGAAGCTTCAAGTCAACTTTTTAATCAATGGGATTTTGTCATCAATCGTCTCGATTACAGGTTTCGCTTAGAGAAATTAAACAGTTCATTTAAAAATTGCATATACCAATATCTCGTCGTCTTTTTCCCCAATATATTACCATCACAAAAAAACGGACCATTTTTCACATTTTTGACGCTGTAATTCCAATATCAATTTAAGTCCAATTTTGAGCATAAACAATTCAGAGTTCCGACCACACATCATTGACCAGCTAGAATTCCTCAAAAGGATTTGCATTTTCTAATATTCGCATTCTGTCTTATTAAATCTTTTGCTTTTCAATGCAGAGTTGTCTGAAAAAAATCTGTTGGTCGATTTACGACTACAAAAGAAAATCTCAAAATTATTACGGTAACTCATAGCACTTTTAAAGTGCCTCTGAAATATCGAATTTTCAATTCATTTCCAGCTGCGGACATTATCATTGTTATGTTTTTTTCCAGCAATGTGCGCCGTTTCCCGGCCTTGGCATGCTTTATTCATCGGCTCCGTATCTTCTGTATTCTCAATAGCCGTTTTGCCGGTTCTCGAAAAGCTTCATATCGATGATCCCGTTGGTATTGTTCCCATTCATTTGACATCTTCCATATGGGGAATGCTAGCTACCGGAATATTTTGTGAAAAAGACAAAATTCTCGTAGGATTTCATTTTTTTTTTGCTTTTGTTGGAAATATTTTTGGTTTTTTAAAGGGCGCTGCAACGAACAATATGGCCGGCTTAATCTATTCCTGGGATCCTACTTTATTAGGAGTTCAGGCGCTTTGCACAGTAACAATTTTGGTGTATTCGGCGACAACTGGATTCATTGTGCTTGTGGTATTCTCAATTGTCTCATTCATTTTCAAAAATGTCCATTTTACAGATTATTAGCTGGAGTCCACTGGGATTGCGCGTAACTGACTATGAAGAACAAATTGGTGCTGATGTCATCGAGCACGGTTTGGCGGGAACGAATGTCGCGCGATACGTACTTGAAAAACCGCTTTCGACAAGGTACGCTTGTTGTCATTGCGTGCCTGCCTCGTGCTATCTGTTATACGCCATGCTACTCGCGGCTGCCAGGTGGAGAGATGGCCGAGCGGTCTAAGGCGCTGGTTTAAGGCACCAGTCCCTTCGGGGGCGTGGGTTCGAATCCCACTCTCTTCAGACAAATTTTTGCAGAACTTTTCAAACTGTTACCAAAGCGATTACGAAATGGAAGATGCTGGCGAAGCAGAAGAATCGACAGAAGCGAATGGAAGCTGCGCGATTGAAGCGGGAGCAAGAGGAGAGCAGTTTTATGAAGAATGGCGGCCTTGCAAATGGCAATGGCAATGTATTGCATCGACGTAACACCACCGATAATTCGTCGATGCAGCCAAGCACACCATCGCAGCAGAATCAGATTTTGCCATCGAGTACAGGTAGAGAGGAAGAAGTTTAACGCGAAACATGACAAAGTTGTAGCATCAACGGCGCGATCTTTAAAATCTGGCGAGGTCGACAAACGATCGACGCCGACAGTTATACAAATGGACACGATTCGAACAGACGCCGCGCTGTCAAATCCAGTTGTGCTTGAAGCCGCCCGAAGGTGAGAGGAAGTAAAAAAAGGAAGTAGAGAAGCAATTAAAAGTGATGCGAATATCAAAAGCTTCATGAGAAACAGGATAATGGGTATTGCTCAAATTGAACTTTTTCAGATTATCATCTTCTTCTGCGCATTCCGCCGAATTGTCGATAATCCGTAGAGCTGGACAAGCGTTTCCAGACCGTCCTGCGACTTCATCGAACATCATTGTTCGAACAGGCACATCGGCGAAGTTTGTACGATCCCCGGCGCCTAGATCTCTGAGCCCTCCAATGGAGGAAAAAGACAAATAATTTATCATTTCTTTTATCATTTATCCACCTCGTTTGTTCAAATTTTCTGGAGGTTGCCGTCGGGTGTCTTCGAAGATCATTTATTTTGTTCGCATTTTATTCTCTCAAAATCCCTTATTTATTTTGTCCGCTTTTCCCCCCAAAAACCATACGGTTCGCAATTCGCTTTATAATGTTGTATCTTTTGAATAAAATTCGCAAGATTTTTATTTTTTTTTTCGGAATTAAGACGCTAACGCTAATAGTTAACGAAAAGAGAAATAATCAATCCACTTCCTCGTCTTTTTTTTACAAATATTTTGCATTGTCTTGCTTAATTGCCAGTGAAATGAGTGTTAATTGACGTGGCAAAACACAGCGGGCATGTTACATCGTTCCTTGTTCATGTAGTAATAAACGAAAAACTTAGTTCGCCGCGATTTTACACATATCGTGGTGGGTTGTGTATAAAAGGCGAACGCGGTGGGTGAGAAGACAGCATCGAAATGAGTGCGAAGGCTCTTGTGACAATCGCCAGCGTCGGCAGCGGTTTGGCCATCATCGGATGTGTGCTGACTGTCGGAATCATCTTCAACGACATCAACAACTTCTACGATGAGACGATGGATGTCATGGCCGACTTCAAGGTATTCGAATCTCGAACCATTTCTGAAACGATTCGAGAAAATTGCAGCTCAATGAACAGGGTGCTTGGCATGGAATGGTGAAGACCACTCGGGCGCCATCTGAGATTCTTTTCGGACGTGCCAAGAGACAAGCGGGACAATGCAACTGCGGAGCGCAAGCCTCCGGATGCCCAGATGGACCACCAGGACCACCAGGAGCCCCAGGAGCTCCAGGAGAGGACGGACATCCAGGAGAGCCAGGACAGCCAGGAGGACACGGAGCCACCATCGGAATCGTTCCAGACGGCAAGAAGTGCATCTCGTGCCCAGCCGGAGAGCCAGGACCTGCTGGACCACCAGGACCCGCCGGACCACCAGGACCAGACGGACAGCCAGGAGCGCCAGGAGTCGGAGGAGGACCGGGACCAGCCGGACCACCAGGACCAGCCGGAGATGCCGGAGCCCCAGGAGCCCCAGGAAACGATGGACAACCGGGAGCTCCAGGACAGTCAGGACAACGCTCCATCGGAGTTCCAGGACCAGCCGGAGCCCCAGGACCACAAGGAGCCCCAGGACAACCAGGACAGCCAGGACAATCAGGAGGACAAGGAGCACCAGGACCAGCTGGAGCCCCAGGACCAGACGGACAGCCAGGACAGCCAGGAGCTCCAGGACAGCCGGGACCAGACGGCCAGCCAGGACAGCCAGGATCCGACGCCGCCTACTGCCCATGCCCAGCCAGATCTGTCGCTGTTCAGAGAAAATCCTCGGTTCGCAGAGCCTCGAAGGTCGTTGTCTAAACGCTACTTTTTGTCTGTCAATAAACCATTTCTTCTTATCTAATTTTAGAAAAAACAGACGAAAAAAAATAAGGAATGTATTTAACTACAAAAAACTTCTAAAATAAGTGTGAAAACACACAATTTTACAGAAAAAAAAACCTAAATAAAAACCATTTCATTTGTAAGTTCGTTAGATGAATTTTTTGCGCAACAAAGTTGAAATTGTTGAAATTTTTAAAATTGGTTCTTTTTTACTAGAATTGGAATTATAATTAATGTCATAAATATATGCAGTCGAATTTGGGTGTTGTATGTTTAATGGAGATTTAAATTTGCCAAAATTTAAGAATTAGTCATCAGTTGACCGTCTCTTCTTTTTTTCTTACTCAGTTTTTTCAAGTATATTTAGAAAAACCCACACTATCCAATTTTAAGCGCCAACAACCATCTGATGGTCATTGACCAGCTAGAATACCTCAAAAGGATTTACATGTTTCAAGTACGCGTTTTGCTCAATTCGTATTCTGTCTCATTGCCTTAAAGGGATAAAAGAAGCAGAAATGTTTACGCAAGTGATATTTCGTCGTGAAATTCTTTGAATTGTGCCCCCAATTTTCAAAAACGTTTTCTAGATAAACGTCACAGATTTCCAAATTCGATGTGGCTTTTTTTGGGTATGAGTGAACGCGTTATTTCAAGGCTTGTCTTTCCGAAACCGAATATTCAAATTCGCGCGCATAGGCTTCCTTGGTAATGATTTTATAATGCACACGGATTTAGTTTGAATAGAAATTCGTGAATATTTTATTAAAATTGATAATGTGACAAAAATTACTAGGGCCCGGTCGGTCGAAACGACAAGCCTGGTTTTACGAATTGTTTCTTCGTGATGCTTTGACGTGTTTGATCCGTATATAGTCATGTGGAATTAACGACTTGAAATGCTTATATCAGGAATGCCTACACTCTTCTATTTCTTTAACTCTTTTCATTTGGGTTAATGCTCAATTCTTTAGAATGACTATATTCTCCTAAAAATAAACAAAACACTAGTGAATTAGACTTTGTGCTCGCTTCTTGGAAGTCGTTTTACATCAAAACGTTAATCCAAAAATTAAAAAAAATGTATGTATGTATATACGGCTTATGAAAGTATGTAGTTAAATACATTCCTTATTTTTTTCTGTCTGTTTTTTCTAAAATTAGATAAGAAGAAATGGTTTATTGACAGACAAAAAGTAGCGTTTAGACAACGACCTTCGAGGCTCTGCGAACCGAGGATTTTCTCTGAACAGCGACAGATCTGGCTGGGCATGGGCAGTAGGCGGCGTCGGATCCTGGCTGTCCTGGCTGGCCGTCTGGTCCCGGCTGTCCTGGAGCTCCTGGCTGTCCTGGCTGTCCGACTGGTCCTGGGGCTCCAGCTGGTCCTGGTGCTCCTTGTCCTCCTGATTGTCCTGGCTGTCCTGGTTGTCCTGGGGCTCCTTGTGGTCCTGGGGCTCCGGCTGGTCCTGGAACTCCGATGGAGCGTTGTCCTGACTGTCCTGGGGCTCCCGGTTGTCCATCGTTTCCTGGGGCTCCTGCGGCTCCGGCATCTCCGGCTGGTCCTGGTGGTCCGGCTGGTCCCGGTCCTCCTCCGACTCCTGGCGCTCCTGGCTGTCCGTCTGGTCCTGGTGGTCCGGCGGGTCCTGGTGGTCCAGCAGGTCCTGGCTCTCCGGCTGGGCACGAGATGCACTTCTTGCCGTCTGGAACGATTCCGATGGTGGCTCCGTGTCCTCCTGGCTGTCCTGGCTCTCCTGGATGTCCGTCCTCTCCTGGAGCTCCTGGGGCTCCTGGTGGTCCTGGTGGTCCATCTGGGCATCCGGAAGCTTGCGCTCCGCAGTTGCATTGTCCCGCTTGTCTCTTGGCACGTCCGAAAAGAATCTCAGATGGCGCCCGAGTGGTCTTCACCATTCCATGCCAAGCACCCTGCTCATTGAGCTGCAATTTTCTCGAATCGTTTCAGAAATGGTTCGAGATTCGAATACCTTGAAGTCGGCCATGACATCCATCGTCTCATCGTAGAAGTTGTTGATGTCGTTGAAGATGATTCCGACAGTCAGCACACATCCGATGATGGCCAAACCGCTGCCGACGCTGGCGATTGTCACAAGAGTCTTCGCACTCATTTCGATGCTGTCTTCTCACCCACCGCGTTCGCCTTTTATACCCAATATGTGTAAAATCGCTTCGTTCGTTTTCTTTTTTTTCTGTGAATGCATTCGCCTCCTCATTACAACAAAACGGCAGTTTAACAAGGAACCCCCCGGGCGGTATGCAATTTTTGTCGGACAAAGACACATAAAATTGGTAAAATAGAATATTCGCGAATATTTTTGCCAATATATTTTGTTAATGTGCTTTGAGCGCAGCACTATGAAATGTGTCTCCGGGGATTAATTACGTGATTTGATTATGCGTGTTGAATCAGCGAAACGTTCAGTTTTGATAAATGTATATATTATAGAGGAAGCGCAAATCATAATTCTGTTTCTCTGCGCCTATTTTTTTCAAAAATTCTTCAATTCGAATTCCGAAGATTGTCCGCAGATGGACACAGTGATATAGAATTTGTCCATTCGAGTGGGTGCTAAATCTAAACCAATATTCAAAAATAATCGAGTGATGTCAGCGGATTGCAATCAATAAAATACCTTCGAGTCCCTAACAATTCTTATGCAGTCAACAATTTCATATTATGGTCCCCAGCCCCCCCCCCTTTGTTCCTCAATATTTTCGAGATCACTTGTAAATCTTATTTCTCTTTTTCTACTTTTTTGGTTCTGCTTCGACTTAGGCGGAAGTCTTCAATCTTATTTATCCTATTTCGTGGTGGTGGTATTTTGTTATTTATTTCTTTTTCCAAATATAGAATGTTGCCAAAAATGATCACAAAAAATACTTTGCTTGTGATGATGTAATGAATATTCAATTGCTTCCTCTTTTTTTTTACTAGTTCGGAGCAAATGCAATTTTCGTGGAATGTTCCTCATTTTATGCGTATTTTTAGAAAAATGAATATTCTCAATTATTTTGCTGATTATCAGCTTGAAATTTCAGCTTTCTGCTGCTCATCGAGCACATTTTAAGGACACTGATAGCCAATTTCAAGATATGAATATTTCATGGAATTTTTTTTTGATTTCTAATTAATATGCCGATTTCAAAATTGAACATTGTTCCTTTTGGGTATTTTATGGGAAAAATTTATCGTTTTTGTTTTTCAATTTTTTCCTGAAGATTCATTTGCAAAGAAGACAACAACGACAAAAATTGAGGTAATCTAGTAAGCTTTAAGCGGCGAAATTTATTCACACGTAGTTGTTTTTTTTTGCTTCTTATTTTGCTGCAATTTGTCTGTAATTACTTGAACGCGTCAATTCAACAAATCCATGAATCTAGTCGCTTTAAGGGGTCCCAATTCCATATACGAATCATACCATCCACAGCAATCAGAAGCTAAAGCTTCCAACCTTCAGAAGAAGTAATTTTGAATAAAATAGAATCAATCAATATCGCTGCTTAAATTTCTAAATCTTTTCTGACATGTCCATGTTTGGCAATTTGAAAAATTGACGAAATTCATTTTGCTCGCAGATGTTGGTTTAAGCATGAAAATTCCATTTAATGACAAAAAAGCACGTCGAAATTCCCTTATAAGCAGTCATTCCATTCTATGTTCAGATTTTTCGCAGAAGCCTGAAAATAGTACAGGAAGCTTCATGTTGTCCACTTCGATCATTGGGTTCTGTTAAATTGTTGCTGAGCTATGATTAATCGAAATTGAACCCATCAGTCCCCTCCCGTTGATTCATTAATTATGTATATATTATAAATGATTACTTGTTTGTTCTTCATCTTCTTCTTCTTTAAAATGATCGACATTTAGAAAATTTTGCTCAAAAATGCACAATGAGCAATGTGCCTTATTTTGCTCATTTTTCATCTTGATCGTTTTTTTTTCGTTGCTCCCTATCATCACCGAAATCCAAAAAACATTGGATACGCCCCTCGAGAACGATTACAGTTCATTTATCATTTGGCCACGTTTGGGGAGGGCGCCAACTCAACGCATTCGAATACCTCGCTTCTGATGCACTATCTAAATTGGGATGAGATTTTTATTGTCGCCCTCTTAACTATGTAATTATGCGTTGCTCCTCCCCCCCCCCCAGGCCTCCTCTTAGTCCTCTCAGTTTATGTGCTTTTTTGTTGGGGTTTTATGGACCGATGCCATAAAAAATTTCGATGACGACCAACCAAATTGAAACATGCTCGACGACGAGCTTGCGTCTGCTCCTCGCATTCCACTCTCATCACCCTACCCCAACCAACAAAAATTGGGATGAGAGCCTCGAAAAATTAATTTTGCTGACAGAGCCTAAGAATTTTTGAAATTGTTCCTTCATCTCGTTCCACTCTTCGAACTGAACATGCATCCGTGTGAATTAGTTATGACAACCAGCTAGAATTCAAAAAAAATCAACGCAAAAATAGTAATCGAGTGTGGATTTATAAATGAAGCGAGTGAGCTGACAACTGAATTTTTTGAGCTTCGCCTACTATCTCAATTCCGTTTATTTCCGGACACGCGATTTTTAGTTTTTGTCGTTATTCGACAATTCTGAATTTTTTTTCTATTTTGGCCCGATATTACAGTGGTCGAGACGATAAAAGGTTTTCTTCTCATGAATTTATCGAATTTTTTTGTGTGAAGTTACGGTCATTCGTCAATTGAATCCCTTGAATTTCTGAGAAAAGCGAAAATCACTAGACCTTAAACACATTTAGTGTCCCAATCAAATGACTGATTGGTGGCGGGAAATTCAAAAACCAATGTCGATCTACGGATTTTTTTATTTTTTTTTTTTAAATATGAAATGCGCGTACGTTAAAATGCAGAGTACGCAAACACGCTCACTGTTCTCCTCGACTAGAGACATCTGGCAAATAGTCTACTTTTTTGTAAAATTCGATTAGCCATTCGACCGCCTTTAAAAATGACGATAATACTCTAATTGTATCAAAAAATTAAAGTTTGAAATTTGTAAAAAAATACGATTTCCAATTTTTTCTAATGAGGATATACCTCAATCCTCTAACAATATTTACCGAGTCTCGGTATTTTAAAAATGTGCAAAATGAGCACATATTGTTTGTTTTTTAATAAAACGTGCTTTTGCACGCATTTTTGTCGAAAATTTCAGGTGTTTTCTACAAATTTTCGCTCTAAATTTGGAGTTTAGAAGAAATATTTCATAATCGCCCTCTTTTGTCTGAAAATTTCTCTAATAATATTCAGAAATCATCAGTTGCAATCTAAACGACTTATTAAGAATCATAAGATTCCGATGATGAAATTCTTAATAAAGAAAGGAATTCTCAAACAATTTTTGTTCTTTGTTGCTGTTTATTTTGGCCTCACAAGTCTAAAGGCTTCTAATCTGTAATTCACACTGATCTTTTCAGCCATATGATCATCTCTATTGGTCAATCTCATTTGCCAGCAGACAAATATTTCCTTTCCGACCGATGTCTCATTTTTAGGCGAACCTGACCTTCGAAAGGTGATTGTAGGGATTCCATTGCGGGCGGCAAAAATGGACGAATGACTTCAAGCCACCATTTTTGAATGTTTGAAATGCCGCCTTGAGTCCCGTATCGAAAAAATCCGCACTCTGGTATCTCAGAACCAATCGGATCCGCAAATAACCAATCTAATTCGTAGAATTACCAGTCGGATCGCGTTGATTCCGGAGCCGAATTTTGTCGGGTCTGATTGGTTTTGAGTTACCAAAGTGAAAGCTGCTTATAGGTTATCACATGAAACGAAAACATAATTTTCTAACCAACTTTAAGTACCTTAGCCGGTAACAAAAGTTTCAAATGGGGGTGTAGGAGCGTATTAACCAATTAAATTTTTAAAAATCTTCAAATTTATCCTTCCGCAACAATATTCTTCTCAAGTTTATACATTTCATGTAAAAATTTAATTAATTTAATATATTTTTAATTAATTCAAATATATTTTTAATTAATTTAATTGATTTTTAAAAGAAATCAGCGAAACATTCTGAAAAAATTCACAAAAATTCATATAATAAATTTCGAAATAATGGCGGACGTGAAATGTGTCATGGCCGAATAATACGCGGCCGCGCGATAATTCGTCCGCCCCGAATGGAAGTCTTAGCTAATCGTTTTTAATGGTCATTCAATTTTTGTGGAACGCTAGAGCGAGGCTTCAAAACTGCTAGAAAATCTTCCACAATTCTTTTTTTTTTATATTTTTATTCATATTTTGCTCATTCAATGGGCTCTGTTTTGACACCTCAAACTTGGGTAATTAAACCTTTTATTTAATAAACGAGGCAAGAATAAAATATAAGTAAGTTATAAAATCAACAAAAATACAAATAGAAAAAGCAATAGTTCATAGCGAGCCACAATGTTAATAATGATTGATCATCGTTGTAACAATCACAAATATTGCATCAATGGGCGTGTCTGAACAGTGCTAACGAGCACACTCCCCGGGCCTACGCTTAAGTGACTAATACACTTGAGTTGCAAAACACAATTAAAATTTAGAAACAAGAAGATAACAGAATTGGCAAAGTTCAAAATTAAAATCAAACATTGTATATGTAAGAACGATAAGTAACAACTATTATTCTTCAACCAATTTCGTAATGGCCTCCCGGCTTCAGAAAAAAAAACTTCATCAAAATTTGCGCCACTATTCACGATGTTTAAGTTAAAATTAGTGAAAGATAGATTTTTTTTTACACAAAAGCATTATTATTGTTAAGCATACACATCAATTCACTCAAGAAAGTTAAAAAAAAACTTACGCAGTGTGGTCTTTGCGCTGTGTGGGCTTGCATTTGCGACAAATTTTGAAAGGAAGGCTGATAAGTTTCCAAAGAAGAGATTTGAACAAGTTGCACAAAAACATGTAGCTGCAGAGTATAATGACTATAACCGTAGCTATTGCGATGAAAACGTATTCCATGTATTGGAAGTATGTTTCCAAAAGGAACCAAAAATCTGGTAATTTCCATTCATCATAGATTTTTGTTTCTCCGTTCAGTATGCGGCTCATTGAACTCCAAACGTCGGCCTCAAAACGTAGGATTCCTTCCAAGTTGAATTGATTTATCGTCTTTCCGCCACAGTCGATCGTGCATTTTTCTGTAATCCTTGCTTTGTCAAAAAACATGTTCGCCGTATTTCTTTCGCCTGCCGGCGAGCATTTCACTGCGGCCCTGTGATTTCCACACTCCACATCTCCAGTCAATTGTTCCTTTAGTGAATGGCATTTTAAGGAAATTGTTGCTCCTTTGGCACAATTGTAGCAACCCGTCAGTTCGACGTTTGAAATTCTGCACTCATCGCTGTTTTTGACAATCATCAATTGAGAATCGTCTTCGATTTTCAACACAAGTTCAGCATTGTTTATTTCTGTCGATTTCATAATTGCAGTCCCTTCATCGTCAGTCTCCAATTTCCACATGTTCCGTTGCAGTGGTAATTTTCTGTGAATGTCATGGTATTCCTCCCATGAGTTCTTGCATTTGCAATTCATTTGTGTTTCAGCTGGTACACATTTACAATTTTCTTCGAATTCACAGTTTAACAATTCTGCTTCTTTCAGTGATTTGCATCTTAGCTCTGGGAATTTCCCGTTCGTCCATAAACTTGTCGATTGGTTTCCTTTCATAAATCATTCGCTGTTGATCGATGATGTTGGAAGGCTCACTTCTTGTAGATGAATGGACATTTTTCCCAGTGTGTTGCCTGTTTCAAGTGTCACATTCCATTGTTTCTTGACATTTTTGAAGCTCCGCAACCGAGTTTCCGTGATTTTGAACACAATTTCATGCTTCCAATCGCATCTGTACAATTCCATGATTTCTTCGTTGATCGGTACTGCGTATATTCTGTATAGAATGCATCCTGAGCTGGTGTAAAAACAATCACACCCCCATCCACCACATGATTCACTGCAACCCGTCGTCCCTGGAAATCGATTGACTTCGTCCAGTTCTGTCACTTTCGAATTTTCTGTGATGTTGGCGCATTTGTTTTCCGTACACGATCCCATTCTAGGGCATCTTTTCACACTTAATACTTTTTGTTCTGTTTCTCTAGAAAACGCGATGGTATTTTTTATGCATTTCATTCGCGATTCTATGAATTCGATCTTCAATTCTCTCAATGTTATTCCATTTTTTGTTACTCGCAAACATGCTTCACGTGTCCACGAGTTAAATGCAATGTTCTCCTTGATGTTCCATGCGCATTTTTCGTGATCTGCGCTCTTTGTACATAGCAAATTCCGTGATTCTGTAACATCGACTTCTTGAGGTGGGCACCTTCAGAGCAAAGTTTATACAAAACAAATCTCTGATTCCTCATTCAAATTTCGTCATCAAAATTGCGTTTCAAGAGCTTCTTTTTTGTAGGCGTCCATTCACGTTCAGATTTTTTGCGTATTTCAAAATGAATGGCTCTTTTCGTTTTTTTTTTTTTGATTGATCCATATGTGAAACATATGCACACACATAAATGTCTCATTTCTCGAATTTTCGCGCAAAATCCATACATTATAAAATGTGTCAATTGGTGTGTTCCATTTGCGAAAAAAAAGAAGATTGGGCCGTCCGAGTACAAAGCCAAAAAACGAAATATCGCCAACCGGAAGCGGTTATTATTGAGTTTATGAGGCTTAAGAATTTCTCGCGCCGCGGGTTTCCGTAAATATCATGCCGTTTAGGAACATTTTCTTCGTTTTTTCTCGATTTTGCGCCAAACAGGTGAAATTTTTAATTTTTTTTGAAATTCACTTAAAGCTTTGTATCATTAGATTCTATGCAGGTTTTGAAAAAAAAATTCAAAACAAAACCTAGTAAATTTTTTCTCTTTTATTTATAAGGGATTTCCAGCGTCAGAATCCTAAGTGTTCATCTGCGGACAATTTTCGGCATTCCTGTGATGTGTCCGCAGCTGGCATTGCTCATAATTCAAAGCATTTCGCCTCGAAATCCTGTATCTATCAATTTCGTGTGCATCATCATCAGCGATTAAAAATGTATGGAAATTGTATGAAGCGTCTGACTAAAAAATTGGTGTCAAGAATGCCTTTCATTTCGTTTCGCCAAGGTCATCCTCATCCGTCTCATGCTCTTCTGGCTCTTTCTTTCATTATTCCACATTCGGCTTCTTCATGGTGAAGCCGAGAATTCATTTATTGTCCTGTCTTGTTTTTTTTTGAACGAATAATGTGCCTCCTTCAAATGTTTATTTAAATTGTCTAAATCTCTCGAAATCGTCAACTCTTGTGTCTCGCGTCGAAGCTAATCTGAAATTTTCAACGCTCGCCGCCGGCCTCGTTCAACACCGGATATTGGCACCGCCATCTCCATTTTAAGCGTCTACCTCGATCCTCGATCGGTGTCCGCATCCAGTTCCACTCATCAATTTTGAGACCCCCCCCCACTACCGAAACTTTACGGGCTTTATCGTATAGTCGATGACCCAGTAAATAGCTTGTCAGCGGTGTCATATTATACATTGTTATCGGGCGTCGAAAAGAAAACACACCTGACGGGTGACTAGGAGGGTCCATAGGCCAACGGCTCTTGTTATCATGCACCTGCTAATTCCGCCTATTTTACTCATGTTTTTTTCACGGACCATAATATCCCAAAAACAAAAAATGGGAAACTCGTTATGACATTTTACAACTTCCTCAATGGCCTACTTAATTAATAATACGGAGGCCCTTGTTTGGTAATTTTGTAGGCCTTCTGTCCAAATTTTTGAATTTTGCCGACGGTCAATTAATTGGTTCGTTAAAATTAGATAGCTCTCTCATAAAACGATTTTTTTCATTTAAATTCTGCTCTTTCACATTAAAAGTCGCAAAAATACTTTTTTTTCCGTACGAGACCCAAGGCGGCAATTCAAAATAATCAAACAATCGTTCGTCAGCGAGAGTTAATTTAATTGAAAATCAAGAAAAAAAAATTTTAGGTATGCCCATTTGTAGACAAAGTGGCCATTATTCTCAAGATTTACAACCAAACCAATTTCAAGAAATACTATAAAATATGTATGAATATGGCGATCGCTGCAAGACCAGATTTAAAGGATTTTGGAGAGGGTTGGGGGTTTCTTTAAAAATGGGCGTGGCCTATTATTTGAAAAAATTGGCAAATCGACAATTTTTGCTCATTGCCCAAGAGTAGGAATGAGTACGGTAGTTTATTTTTGCGCCTCAAGACCACCCGCACTTTTCAACGTTTTCCTTGTCGCTTGTTAATTTATGATTTTGTTGTTCATTTTCCGACTGCCACCACCAGAATGCCCTTTTGGCCAACCAATGTTGTTTGCGTCGAAAATAAAAAAAAAGCATTCCAGAGAATGAGAAATTAGCCCGGCGTGTTTAAATTTATACGTATATCGTATCCGAAATGAAAAACGGAAATTTTTTTCAGGAAACAAATGGCATTCGGCGGGCTTCTCGACAATTTTCTTCAGGAGAAATCGCGAGGCCTCGTGAATGATGGCAGCGCACACAAATCGTCAATGTTTTATCAGCATCGTCAAGAATCCTATTCAATGGTCTCGCTTCGAAATTCGAACCATTTCGTTCAATGGTGTCTTTTTTTTTGTGTTTGCAGTATCAAAACTATGGGATGGCGACGAAGAAAATGAGCACAATCTCGATGGTGAATCCGAAAATGAGCACAATCTCGATCGACGTCTATCCGAAATATTCGCTGAGCGCGAGATCTCCGCGTTAGTTTCACATTTTTGTTTTGTTCTTGATTCCATGAATCAAAAATTGAATGAACTGGTACTCCCCCATACATTCAGGTAGGCTAACAAATGTGAATATTGATTATGCCCATTGATGGTAATTATTAGAAATACTTCGAATTCGCTACTTCGGAAAATTGGCGAAGCGCCAAAAAATTAGAGGGTGTCTTTAACCCTTGGCTTATTAATCTACACTTTTTGTTTCGCGCCGAGACCATTGTCATTGTTTTTTGGCATTTAGCCAATTTTCAGACCTCTCTCATCCATCTGCGGACATTTTTCCAAAGGTTATCATTGATTTTTGTGAATTTCCAACGTTTATCATTACAATTATTAATATTTAAATCTTATGACGCACTCATATGTCCGCAGATCAATTAAACAAGACGTCGATCATCATGAAAAATTGGAAGACGTCAAAAAAATGATTATTGGTCGTTGCATTCGAGAAAGACTATCATATATCATCAATTAGCGATTCTGAATATGGAGAAATGTCTCAAAAAACTACCATCGTTCTTCTCTTTCTTCGTCGACGCGAACCAACAAAAAAAAATACACACACAAATTTGCATTTGGCGCAAAAGTTAGATGAATTTGAATATTTCCTCCTCATATTTGCCTGAGTTTCTCGTTTTGCTTTCGTCTTCAAAAAAAAAATAAAAGATCTGCGCAGCCATTTGATACCTAGCAATGTTGAGCCGAAATAAGACAAGAAAAAAAAGTTTCGCGCCCCTCCCCCCATTGAATTTTTGTTTGCTTATTTCCTTGCCGAACAGCCCCCCCCCCTTCTCCGCATTCTCGTTCTCGTCAATTTATTTAATTTCATTTTTGTTTTGTGGCCCGACTTCATGATGAATTAAAAATGGACACATCGTTCTTGATGCGAATTCGAATTGGCGCCCGCTCGTCAAACCGAATTTGTTGGAAAAGAAAAATAAGTGCGGCCGCACTAAATTTGCGGCAGCAGGTGGGACCACCGAAAATCGTTTAGTCGATTACTTTCCCCACAAAACGGGGCTCGATAAATATTTGTTGAGACAACTCAAGAGTTGGGTCACGGCCCGAAAATAATTGCTACTGTAATTCACCGTATTGCGTCATTCGACGAAAATATGCCCTTCTGTTTCTAGGCTTCTCCTCGTTGAAATGCTTCATAATATCTTGGTCTCGCCCGGACTCACAGGTCATTTCAAATTTTTTTGAACCGGATCGAAAATTTTTTAATCGAACGACGTTAGAAATTCCAAGAAATGCCTTTCTCATAAAAAAAAAATAAATTGTTCACGTGAAAAAGCGTTCACACGTGGCGAGACCTTTTCTCAGTGGCCGTCATTTGTGGTCAATATTCGGCCACGGCCAGCAACCATTTTCTTTTGTTATTTGAAAATATCAAATGCACACCATTTGGGTCTGTCGAGTGAATCGCAAATTGTCCGCAGATGAATTTAAATATTTCCTATTTTTATTTTTCATGAAATTACTTACAAACCTAATTGAATCAAGCAGGATTTTGAAATAATTGTCTTTTTGGTTTTGGCCACAATCATCAAATATTTTTGGAGTATTTTCTTCTATAATTCGCCTTAGATATTAATATTCATAAACAATATTGATTAAAATCTAGATTTAATGTAAGGCTTGATCAGAATTTCAGTGGAATCTCAAAAACGAGGAAATATGTTTGGTTTCTGGGCCAGTCAAAATACTTTGATGTATGTTGCACTTTTTGCCGACGAGCTGGCCAATGCCGGTCAGCCAAGCAGCTGTTGCCGCAACCTACAATGGTCCCAACTATAAATCTTAATCGCGCAATCACCATGTCACGGACCGGACCATCTCGTTTTCTCTGCGCTCTCAACGAGCTCATTCCGTTGGCGATTATCACCCAAAACATTGAGCAACAACCCAACAGCGAAATAAAAAACAAACACCCAAACGAATAGCGACTAGAGAGTGAGCTCCATTCGTTTTTTTCCTTCTGCTCACCAAAAGCATTGGTGATTTATGGCGGTGATTTATTATCTGTGTTGTTTCTTGAAATTTTTTTGTCTTCTTCGCACTGTGTTCTTCATTTTTTCTCATCATTTTTATTATTTTCGCTCACCCATCTTCATAATCAGAATTCTAATTATCTAATTAGGCAGAAAGGTGGCCGTATGTTTTTTTACCGGTAATTATGCGCGACCCTGTAGACTCTAAAAAATTAATTGATGTGATCCCATCTTTCTAACTCACATCAGCGCTTAGCTTCTAAGAGTTGTCGAGCTCGTCAAAATCTCAGAAAATGATTCTAGCTTTAAACATACTAAATTGTTTTTTAATTTCGAAATTAGACCCCTAGGACCCATTTTCATAATTCAGTGTCATTTTCTAAAAAAAAAACATTTTGATCTTTTACAGAGACTGCCTTCAAGGGTCCTTTTTTCGGCCTCGATGCTTGATTCAAGCAATTTTAGTGATATAGGAATCAGAATCTCAGATTTCTTGAAGTGAGACAAGCTCGTGGTTTTGATTTCTCGGTAGTTGCCACGTGGCAGCTTCAACGTTTTCAATGGTCCCAATATGCTTCCAATTAAAATTTTAAAATTGACAATGCTGGGTGGATTATTCTTCTAAAAATGGTCTCGCTAGAAAACTTGAAAAAAAAAATGAATTTCCATTCGCAATCATAATTTTCAACTTGATTTCAACACGATAAGTACCCTCTCACCGTAAGTGGAATTGCTCGTTCCTCGTGCTCCTCGAGCTCCTCCAGCTTCTTCTCCTTATCATTTTCTCTCGCACACACAAATTCACCGAAATTTTAATCAGCCAATTTACACACAATTTTATGATGCTTCTCGTCTCTCATTTCCATCCTCTCTCCTTCCTATTTTTTTTCCAATCGTCCGAATCCAAGAAGCAACATTCAAAAAGAAAAAAAGAGTAAAAGTAAACAAAAATAGTTGGCATCAAATTGAAAATGAGCCGCCTAGGGGCATCTGAAACAAAAAGAGCAATTCGGAAAATGGAAATGAGCGCGATGCTCGATGGTCCGAACCCAAAACGCACCCCACAAAACAATAACACGACCATTAATCATTGTCGCCATTCCGAATTTGTTATTTTATGCTTTCAACGTGCGGGTTCTTTTCTACTCGACAATTTTCGATTTCTTCATTCCATTCAATCGTTTCTTCAATTTTTGCTCTTCATTCTGCCTCGACGAATCGCATTGGTCAATTCTGGAAAAATTATTAATCCCATGATTTTCAGAACTCTATTGAATTCAATGCTTGATTTTAAATTCTATTTTTTTAAAATTAAATAGCTATTTACAGTGCTGCGAAAAATTCGTTCGGTTTTTGAGAATTTTCTATGTTTCGCCCATCAATTTTTTTTGTATTGCGCCAACAATTTTTAGCGTGATATTTGAATATTTAATAAAATGGCAATTGATTGGCCATTTCCCAATTTGGTCATGAATTAGTCCGCGCAATTCTAATTTTAGGCCACGCCCCTTTAACGACGATATTACTAGATTTTTTTTTGAGGAAAAATTCAAAAAATATTCAATTCACTCTTTCTTTTTTTTTTTTAATTTTTTTTCTTCACTCTTTCTTTTTTTTTTATAATTGAAGAATCTTTAAAAACAAATTTAAAAATCACTTTTTAGAGGAATATTGGCAGTTTCTAAAAAAAGGCGGTTCACATAAGGGCCATACGATGACGCCTTGAAATTATGATTCCGATGCGAGCGAATTCTGGAGCAGCCTGAAAAATAACCAAATTTAGAAATACGAGCAAAAATACACAATTTTCTTTTGATTGTTATTTCTTTAAAAAAATCAAACAAGACTAGACACTTGAATTCTGAAATTTAAGCATTCTGACCTCTTTTGGTCGTCTAGATCATCGGATCGCAAAAATCGAGAGCCATCCGACTCATTCTCATTCATTCCACCACTCAATTCTGCGCGTCGTTCTCATGATAAGAAATTCATTCATTATTTCATTCCGCTTATTTCATTGTCCAAAAAAAGGATGAAAATTAGATTTGCGCGTTCGCTGAATTATTTTTTTTCCTTGCGGCGAGTTTGGCGGTCGGTCCAAATAAAAACGAGAAGAGATGAAGTGTGGAAGAAGAAGAAGAAAAAAGTGCATTCATAACGGATAGGACCCCTCATTTTTCTCCTCAATTTGCTCATTTTTTGGCGGCATTCAATAGCCACCCCCCCCCCGCGGGTGAATTCCGGACCGCACCAACTTCCCCCTTCTATTTACGGACCCTCGGTGCTGGCAATTAATTGGAATTGAGCTTGCTTCCATATTAAAAGCCAACCCATTCCGAATTGTTTAAAATATTCTCTTCCCTCGTTTATAAATTTGTTTCCTTCTTCTTCTTCTTCTCCTTCTTTATTTTTTTTTTCGTTGTTCGATTCCTTTTGTCTGGGCTCGTGTTTTTTGTTTGTTTCTTCATTCATTTTCTACGTCGCCACTTCAACTTCCAATTGAGCCATTTTTTCTATCCCTCACTCGCTCGGCAATTCATTAGCGAACGACTCGAGGTGCTCGTAAATCGACACTTATTAAAGGCGCATATGGCTTCTATTGTATTTTTCGTAAAAGAACTGGTAAAAAAAGCGAGCGAAACATTTTGAAGGAGCTTCGCTGCAGAACCCACTGCATTTCCTTTCCTAAATTATTTTTCGATCCAGATAAAATACAGGGTTGGCCATTTTTTGGTCCCGACACACAAATCATTTTTCTTTCGTCTTTCCTCTTGAATCACGATTGAAATAATTGCTCATACGCCGTGGTGAGACCACTTTTAAAGGCGCACATCATTTCGACGAGGAAACGAATCAAGAAAATACCATTCTTTTGAAATGATGAGCTGAATTTTGTTTTCAAACCAAAAAATCAAAAAAAATTTTCTGAAATTTCAAATCTTTTCTTGGAAAACTTCGAAAAAACCGATTGATTGAAATTTTTTTGAAAC